AGTAGTATCCCGATGGTTCTGAACCAGTTTTTTTTATCCGGGGGGTCCAAATTTTAGACCCTAGGGGATAATTAACGGTCTGTGTGTTTCTGCCCTAGGAGATAATTAACGGTGTGTTTTTTGACCGGGGTGAATTTTAACGAATGGTATGTTTTTAATATGTGATTTTGTGAAAATATGTCATGAAATTGCAGACTAAATATCGTTTCGTTAGATGGCATTGTGAAAATGACATACTGATTAGTGCATTACCTTTACTTTTTGAGTGACAAAAAACAAAAAAGGAAAAACAGGAAGCTTGATCTGTGGTTGGGTAAGTATGCTATTGCGGTGACACATGTGCCGAACGACCACGACCACTGTTCAATCTTGGTTTCCCTATTTTTTTCACTTGTGCGACATGGATCACCGATTTCAGTGATCCCTTGTACGACATGGATCACCGAGTTCAGTGATCCCTTGTACAACGCGGATCACCGAGTTCAGTGATCCCATGTACGACACGGATCACTGTTATTGGTAATCCTTCCTGGTTTTGATGACCCTTGCAAGTATGGGATTATCGGAATCGGTGATCCATGTGAGTGCAGCGGTCAATCACGTACGTACAACACCGTAGCAACAGTATGAGGGATCACTGGATTTTGGATGGATCACCGAGTTCGGTGATCTCTCTAACATAACACATAACCGTGTACGTACGACACCGTAGCAACAGTATATACGTAAGATGATCGAGATCGGTGATCCCTCTGGGTATATAAAGGAGGTAGATTTTTATAATGAATTTCAGTCTGAACTTATTCTGCCACATTCTAAGAGAATTTCTGGCACATTAATCGCACAGGTGTATATTTTTGCAAATCGGATCGCTATTATTGCATTATGGACTTTTCGAGGAAGCGACAGCGGAAGATGAACCAGAAGCCTCGAAGCGACAACAGGAAGAACCAGCAACATCAAATGACCAAACGAATACGGAAATAGGTAAATTTCTGAAAAATAACCTTTAGCAGCCCGATCATTTTAAAAATAGATTTATTTTTCAAATCCTTGCATTTGTTTTGATTATATTGTTGAACGCTTATACGTTGAAGACACTGAGCTGAAGATAAGAAAAGAATTTGCAGATTCAGCGGATGTCGCCCTCGAAAACATTACTGATCATATCCACATCGAAGAAGCCGGCTCAAAATTTGGAAAAAATTTGGTTTGCATTCCAAATGTTTTTCAGTCAAGGTAAACCGCAGCTACATTTTTCAAATATTTGGAACAGGTCTGAGATTACTTGCAAATTGTAAGGTAATCTTTTAGGCTTTGATTTGGAAACCCTTCCTTTTGCGATAGTTCCGATGGCTCTGACGTTGATATTGCAACACGTTTTGGACTATGTGTTAGAAGGTGTACGCCCTGAAGAGATGGTACGAGTGAATCGATTCAAAATCTCTGAACTACCCAATTTGGACACCACCGATACAAAGATCGCAACTTACTGTGCGACGATGGATGGCGGAAGTAGCAAGGGTGCTCAACTCTTACGAAGAGCAATTCAGCATGGACAAACACTTTGAAGTACTATGCAACACAGACATTCCCAGAGGCAGCTGTGTCCGCGACGTTCCCATAATACTAAAAGAGCTTCAGAAATGAAGTCCGTCATTTTGATAACAAATGCTGATATTTGTCTCATAAAACTTTAGTTGTCGGAATGGCCTATGCGGACGGTGATAAGCAGAAGTGTCGAAGGATTAGGCGCGGAAAGCTTCAATCAGAAAGAAGCAAAAGCGTTGATAAAGAATGCAGGACTGGACGAAAGAGAGTACACAATAGCGGATGTCCCATTTTCCAGCAAGCACTTGCCGAATACCAGATTATTATTGTGAGTGTAGATCACGCCAACATCGTGTACAGCGGACCCAAACAGAGCAAACGCATAGTCTTGCTGCATCATGACCATCATTTTGACTTGCTCAATTCGCTGCCAGCTTTTTCAAAGAAATTATTGGTGTTACGCATGCAACAAAGGTTACAATGAAAAAAGCAGATCATCGTTGTGAATCAATTTGCCACTCGTGTTTGCGCAACGATTGCGAGGCGGACAAAAGGAAACGTCATCGAATGCCAGGATTGCCATCGTAAATTTTTGGTTCCGGTTGTTTTACCGAGCATAAGGTCGCATCTACTCCCACAGAAACAACGGAAAAGTATTTGTCAGTCAGTTTTAAGTGCCAGCAATGCTTCCGTGTGGTATCAAACAGAAATCGGAAGGTGTTAGTCAGCATCAATGCGGAGAGTATACTGTCAAACATGCAAAACCACGAATTGCCCGATTCTCATAAATGTTTCATCAAGCCTCACAAAGTGACCGAGGAGGACCTGGAAGAGCACAGGAATGCCAGCTTTCTGTATTTTGATTTGGAGACTTATGTGTCAGAAAATCGTGAACTTGTGCCTAATCTTGCGGTAAGGTTGGTTCAATAAAACAAAGCAACCATTTAATTCTGGATCTTTTAGGTTGTCAGGACGATGAAGGGCATGAATGGATTTTTCCGGAGGAAGGCACACCTTTCGGTGGTAACGTTACTGACCAGCTGTGCTCGTTTTTTTATTTAATGAGCGACACAGAGATCACTACATTATTGCCCATAATTTCAAGGTAAAACCATTGCTCCGTAAAGATTATGGTTACATAATATTCGCTTTATAGGGATTTGATGGGTATTTTATTTTGCGTTGGTTACTGGAAAACGGAATAGTCCAAAGTTATTATGAACGGTGGAAAGATACTTCAACTGGATGTGTCAGATTCAATATATGCTTTCGGGACAGCTTCAACTAATCCAAAGCCTTGCAAAATGGCCGGCAACCTTCGGCATTCGTGACATTGGAAGGGCACATTTCCTCATCGGTTTAATCGTAAAGAAAATTGGGACAAAGGTTCTTCCTTTTCCGGAGCCGGAAGAGTACGGGTTTTCATGCATGAACAGGAAGGCGAAGGAGTCATTCATGTCTTGGTATGCTACGGAAGCGAAAGAAAAAGATTACCTTTTCGACTTCCGGAAAGAGATTGAAGAGTATTGTCGCATGGATGTGACGGTACTACGCATGTGCTGTCAGCAGTTCCGCCGTCTATTCAAGAAATCAGCAACGGATTGTGTCCTTTTGTCTCGGCTATGACGATTGCTGGTGTATGTAATCGGTATTGGAAGTCTTTTATTCTTAAACCACAACAAATCGGTCTCCTTCCGCAACGTTTACATGCGAAAAACCGGAACCAATCAGAAATCGCCAAGAAATGGTTAGCGTGGATAGAAAAAGAAAAGAATGCGCTTTGGAATCGGCTTTGAATGGATCTGAACACCAGATTGGACCGTTCTTTGTTGACGGTTACCGCAGATATCAATCACGTTTACGAATTTTACGGCTGTTGGTACCACGGGTGCCCTCAGTGTGAAGCTCCTGGAACCATACACCCTTTCCGGAACATTCCAATGTCGGAAATATACAACGAAACCCTGGAACGGGAGAAGTATATCCGCAGCCAGGGATACGGTGTGACCACCATATGGGAACATGAATTTGCAGATCAGATAAAGTCGGATCCCGAACTGCGATCGTTTGTTCAAAACTTTCGTTTATTGCTCCTCTGGATCCACGAGATGCATTCTACGGTGGTCGTACAAATGCCGTCAAGCTTTTCCACCAGATATCCGGTGACGAAACGATAAGTTATTATGATGTCAACAGCGAATACCCGTACGTCAACAAAACAAACGATACCTTGGTCACCCCACAATAATTACAAAAGATTTTAAAGATATTGGAAATTATTTGGTATTGCCTGCGTGTCAAGTGCTTCCACCTGGGGACTTGAAATTGCCAGTACTACCATATCGCTCGGGTGGTAAGTTAACCTTTCCTTTGTGCCGGACATGTGTGGACAAGTACCAAAACACCAAGTGTGAGCACACCGATGAAGAGCGCGCTTTAACGGGAGCCTGGTGTACACCGGAAATAAACGAAGCTGTGAAGCGCGGATATGTGGTCGAAAAGATTCACGAAGTCTGGCATTTCGAGCAGTACGAAGACCGTCTTTTTGAAGAGTATATCAACAAGTTTTTGAAGATCAAAACGGAAGCAAGCGGTTGGCCTGCTCACGTCCACACTGAAGATGAAAAACATCAATACATTCAGGATTTTAAACAACATGAGAAGGTTGAACTAGATTATGATAAAATCACTCCAAATGCTGGACTGCGTTCACTATCGAAACTGTGTTTAAACAGGTTAGTTTATACAAAATACACAGGCATCAGATTATGAAAATTTACAAGTATTACATTATCTTTCCTTTTTATAGTTTCTGGGGACGTCTGGGAATGCAAGAAAACAAACTCAGCACTGCCTATATAACCGAACCGGAAAAGTTTTACGACATGTTGTTGTCTGGAAAGTATCACGTGCATTCTTGGGACATGTTCTCGGAGGATGTGGTGCAGTTGACATACACCAAAGAAAGCGGTTTCGTGGATCGTAATCCGAACACCAATGTCATCTTAGCGGCGTAAGAATTAATACTTTTATTTGTTTTGGTTTACCATTGGGTGCAATTTACAGGTTAACAACATGCTGGGCACGACTCCATTTGTACAAATTTATGGACATGGTCGGGGATCGGTTGCTGTACTGATACAGGTACAATATAACTATGGTTTTGTAATCCGCTTTTTTATTCTGCTTTTTTAAAATACAGATTCCATTTTCTTTGTGACAAAACCCGGATTGGTTGACCCCAACGGGCTGCTTCCTTGGCGATCTTACCAATGAATTAAAACCAGGACAGCATATCGTGCAGTTCATCAGTTTGGGAGCCAAAACTTACGCGTACGTCACTAATGATGGCGATACTGTGGTGAAAGTGAAAGGATTCACTTTGAATGGCCAAACTAGTGAGCAAATTAATTTTAGTAAAATGCTGGAAATGTTGGAGAACCGTGATACAGTTGATATACAGTATCCCGACATTCTGAAGCGCGTGAAGGATTTAACAATTTGTAGCGCTAGCATGAAAAACGGTTTCAAGTGACGTATGACAAACGTCGTATTGTGGATAGTGAGTACAATACACTTCCGTACGGTTTCAAGTTGTTATGAATTTATTAAACTTTTTGATCATGGTTTCAATCTGTTCCACAGCAGCTGACAAATCAGTATAAGACTTCAAACCTAGAAAGTTACATTTACCAGATGGAAACAAAACAGCACGACCAACACAAAGCTTAACGGCAAGACCGCTAAACAATTCCGGTGTATACTCAAGTTTAAAGTACTGGCTAAATTTTTCTATATGAACACGATCAGTAAATGTGTGGTTAGCTACAATATTAACAATTCGATACCCGGTAATAGCGCATGGAAATCCGATCCTCCTTAGCATTCCAACAAACAACTCCAGTATTTCCTTCGCTTGTTCTTCGGATCGCCCTCCATTTACAGTGATTTTGCCATTGCGATATACTTAGTGTGCTTTGACCGGTTGGAGAACACGAATCAGTAGTCCAGAAAACCGTTGAGGGATATACTGCGCCATTGGTAGAAGTTTTTCAATTTTCCAAAGATCCAGGGTAGTGTTTAAGTCCGCAACGGCAACAACATTGGTGATTCTGGGCATCACAGTGATACCACAAGGCGAACCGCACAGCTTTGCGGAGGGTCGACACAGGGAGCGAGGTGAGTTTATGATATGGTGGGCAGCCCAGGGATTCGAGGTTTCTCACTTCCGGTAGAAACTGCTCAAGCAGTCGGCACTTCTCAAGGCCTTTGGCAAAAAACCTCACTTGACTGGGTCGTCCGATTCTTTGAAAAATGTCCTCCAAGGCACATGTTACCTGATTGTGTCGGTACTCTCCTTCTGTATGCCACAAGAGCCCGTGCGAGTGTCGAGCTTGACTTTTCAGCGCGGGGATGTGCTTGCTGGCAAATCGTGGAAGCGAGAAAGTGTAAAGGTTTTGTTCATCTTTGTCCGGGCAGTAGAAAGCCAGCTGTTTGATGTACTTGGTTTCATTGATAACGAACCAATCGGTATCCAGTATGCATGGTACTGCCATTTCGTCTACCGGAGTACTATTCAAAATTCCAGTTAACTGATAACGCACAATGCTGTGGTTAGAGTCTAGTAAGTTTATGTACTGAAAACCGCGTATTTGTACTAGGAAGAGGATCACTCAAGTCGGTGATCCATATCGTACAAGTTATCACCGAGTTCAGTGATCCCTATCGTACAAGGATCACCGAGTTCAGTGATCCCTATCGTACAAGGGATCACCGAGTTCAGTGATCCCTATCGTACAAGGGATCACCGAGTTCAGTGATCCCTATCGTACAAGTTATCACCGAGTTCAGTGATCCCTATCGTACACGAGATCATCGAGTTCAGTGATCCATGTACTTTGCGGGATCACCAACAACGGTGATCCGTGCACTAAAGATCACCGATATTGATAATCCACTAAGTGAATTGAAGAGCGCTATAAAAAGCAAACGTAACTGACAGGTTCTTAACAAGTTGTTCTGTTTACCTCTTGTTGAATTTTATTCTACATCACCATGGAATTTATGGACCTGTTTGTACCTAAACGACCGCAGACCGCTGCGACCAAAGCCAAACGAAAAAGTCAAGAGGAGGGTGGAAAGCCGGAAGTTAAGAAGAGCAAGCCCAACAGTTTACCGGGCACGATATCTACGCACCCGCGGTTTGTTTTTGCACAACTGGGAAAGCCGGTCTACCGCTTGGGAAACGACAAGTTCGTGTATGTGGGACCTAGCGACGACGGGAAGATCAGTACGATTCGTGTGGTTTTCGGTGAATGGAAGGAGCAACCGGACAATTCCTGGAAAGCCAGCTACGGGAAGAACGTTTCACTGTCCAAGATCGGTTTTCTTCGTTTGGCCGCGCTCATGCTGACTGAGAAAGCTGACATGGATGAAACGGCCCGTGCTAGTGCCGCTGAAACCGGTCGGCTGACCCCGTTGTACCTTTTGGACAGCAGCATGTATTTTGGTTGGAGTCGTTTCAATGGCACCAACGTAGCGACCATTCGACGTTTTGAAGTAAAGGGAGAGGATATGATCCCCACCCGCTACGGTGTTTCTTTTGGTGAACGCTGCTATGAGGGGTTGAAGGACCTCATGAAAGACCTGCAGCTGTTCAAAGACATGGTGAAAATCCAGAAGGAACAAGGGATCCACGAGCCGGTCAAAGAAGGACTAGAGTACCCTATGCTGTGCGAGAACGTTGCTGAGGCTTTGGCGCCATTAGTCAAGCAGCTGGATGATGGTACTATTAATCAATGTCACGAAGAAAACTATCGACCATCAGACGGTGAATGGAACGGTGCTGTGGAGCGACTGTTGGAATTGCGTATGGTGCATGGCATACTGTTCGGACTGGATAAGCTCAGTGTTGAGCAAGCTCTGGACCTGGACGTGGCTGGATTTTTGAAGAAACACGAGGATCAGCTTCGTGAGAATGTGGGTGGAGTTATTACCGCTAATAATTGCTGATTTCCTGCTGTTTTATTTACTTGTACGACAAACGAAAAAAACGCTCGTTGTTTTAATTTTCATTTTAATAAACGTTTGCACATCTGTCGGAGCAAAGCTCCGTCCACCATGGTTGTATTGATGTCGAAAAAAGAATTAACATACTGACACACCATTTTGTCGTTGCTTATTCGGCTATCCGTAAACAAATGCACAATATTAGTGTACGATTCACCACTACAACGTCGTAGAATAAAAAACAAACAGTATTGTCCACAAACAGTGCTAAATTCAGACTGAAACTGTTCATTTTGTAGAGTGATTTCATTGGCTACCACCAGTGGTTGAAAATACTGTGAGTAGCTCTCCAGTGCTTTTCCGTAAGAGTCAAATACCTCCATTTTACCGGGTTGTTCCTGGTACAGGGCGATCCAGTGCTCGCCTTCTTGGTCAGCTGGATCGGTATTCACCACACACGCTCCCGGAAATGGTGCCAGGGTCGATGGAACTTGATTGCTGGCGTAGATCCCACGAAACACCGCAGTGGTGTGAGAATTTCCATGGAGTGCCGAGGTAATTTCTTGTGTATTCATGTTGTAAAGTCCGCGATCAGTTGACGGTGCTGGTTAATTTCAATAATGCTGTCGTAGACCAGCATACACACCATCATAATGGTGCTTTTCAGTGGTTTCCCGAAAGACACAGAAACACTAAGGTTTCCCTGTTTGATTAGCGTCAGTGGTCCGCGTCCGGTATGTCCTGGAGTCAGGTCAAAACCGAAAATGGTATATCCGTCGTTATATTGGGTCCGGTTGAACGGTAGGCCGCCTTGCAAGCTGGGACGATGTCCCAAAGTGTCCAACAACCCGTCGTAGCACTCCAGAGACAACTTGCGGTCGAAATCGGCAGTGTACGGTTTGGTTGGATAACTCTGGCCGTCCACTTCGACGCTGATTTGTGTAATATTGAAGTGCTGAAAATTGAAAGGATTTTTCTTTTGCGATCCGTGAAAGTCTTCGCTGTCCACAAAGCCAATGAAGACCACCTTAGGGATTTGTCCAATCTGCAAATTGCTGACCACGGTGCTTTGGGTTCGTTGGGAATGTCCGACACACGCATCACCACTCGTTCGATATGGTACTTGACTGTTTTTTTCAGGAGTTCTCCGGCCACGGCGGTCAGAAAGTCCGGAGACGGAATGTATCGGCGAACCGACAGACGCGCGTTACGTATAAACGGTTTAAATGTCTTGGTGGTATCCGTGTCCCATACACGTAAGGCAAACTCCGGTCGACTAACTACTAGGCGAATGTTGACGGGTACACCGGTGCACAGCGGCTTGCTTTGGTCAAATAGGTCCGAGAATAGTTTGCCAGATAGCTGTACGTACTGTCCAGTATTAAATAACGCCGTTCGATTTTTTTCACCATTGTTTGCAATTTCACTGTTGAAGGAACCCGGAGAGTCGTAATAGAAACCGGCGGATGTCAGTTGGCTTTGTTGGGCATCAAGGGAGTGTGACAGCAAAGATTCCAGGTAAGCGCGGTACGGATAAAACGTGGCAGCATCCGAGATCAACCGGTTGGCCACCGTCACATGGCATGAAGAGAACAATGAGTGCAGAATGTTGTTGACCGGTGCCACACCATCAGCCGTTGTAATCAGTTCCCATTCACCTGTGGATTTACGGACTTTAATGCCCACTTCTAATTCCAGGATCATATCTGCCAAACTAAGTAGTCCGGACGTGCTGGGCGGAATGAAAAAGTTGATATCGCCGGCGGATCCGTTGTCTGTCAAGACGGTAGTGGGGTTAAGTTTTTCGTGTTCCGTGCGCCATCGATCCGTTAAAGTGGCCGGTAATGCAAAGAGCTGGTTCTCCAATTGCATGGCCGGTTCAGAATTTTCCATCATCAGCATGGCCATTTTTAGAAGAAATCGGGGATGTTGGTAGGGGGAATACGTTTCACTCGAACAACTTTGCGTTGAACTCGTCGCTTTTTTCGAACACCGTCTCCTTCCTGGGAAGCAAAACGCTTTTCTATGGCTGTTCCGGCACGTGCGGCTACCTCTTTAATAGCCCCGGTAGCAGCTTCTTGCAGGTGAGGTGTAGCCGCCTCCAGAGCAGCTTTGGCATGGGGTGCGGCTTTCCGTAATATTGGTTGAACAAATCCTGATAGCTTAGCAAACAGATTTTTCAAAATCTGAGGGAAGCCAGACCCATTTTGTAGAGTCCCTCGGTACCGAATCAGTGCGCTACCACCGGTCTGACTCAAAAAGACGTTCTCGTATCGCCGGGGATCCGGCACGTACTCCACCAGAGGCATCTTAGTATAGTCGTTGTGGTCGGAAATGCAGTTTCACAAGGGACTTTCCGTTTGGAACTTGGCGTCGTCTCCCAGATCGTTGGCAATGGTCAGCTTTATGGTTTCGAAATGTTGTCGTAATACAGGGACGTAGTGGGGAATGTCGAATCTGGCCTCCACAATTTGATTGACTTCTCCTCTAATAGGCACGGAACGTAAAAACTGCGCTGCGGTATCGCCAATCAAGCTGTAGTCGGCCACATCACTGTAGACAAACAGGCTTTGATTTCCCAGTAGATTGACGGTCGGTCGCTCGTTCGAAATGAAGCTGGTCAGCTTTGGATTCGGGGGCTTGGCCAGAAATGACAGGTATTGGATACTGACGTTTTTCGTTTCAAAGGGAAACGGACCGGTCATTCCATTGCTGTTACTTTCCATTGGTACATCCGGTTTTAGTACATTATGTTCAAATCCCAGCATTTTCTGTAGGACAGTCGACGAGGGAGGAAAGACAATAGAAACCCGATCGTTACCAATATTCAGTCGGACCCGATGATTGGTGGCGGTCAACAATTGAACGGTGAAGGCTCTGTCGGCAGTCAAGGCGCTCTTATCAACGTGCACCGTTTCGTCCACCATGTACGATCCAACTTTGGGTACCAATGAATTGATGGTTTTTAATAGCAAATCGGCATCCTTGTAATTTCCAGGAGGGATGGTAATCTCGTCGGTATGCACAACTTGGTCCGCAGATTCCAAAAAGTTTGCTTCATCTTTTTTCAGTCTGAATTCTTTAACGATGTGCACTTCAATGTTCTGCTCGACGGGAAGAGTGAAAAAGGAATTGAGGTACTGTAGTTCGACAAGGGCCATTTCCCATTTTCCCTTCAGGGTAATGGGATGTTTTAATTTGGTCGTCCAATTGGAAGGGGTGTTGCTGGGGTCCGTAGCGACATCGCTCGGGAGCGTCACGTAGAATGGTGCTCCTTCGTACATGATGATGCCTTTATCCAGGAATCGTGCTCAGGTCCGTAACCTAACCAGCGAACTAGTACTCTATCACCACGGCGTCTAATAATACGGTCGATAGTATATTCTTTCTGTTCCGGACGCGATACTTTGGAGAGCTCGTGTTCATAAAAGGTCCCTTGGATAGGTTGGTCTTGATAGTCCTTTAGTCGGTATACCGGTACGGTATGTGAAATGACTTTAATGATGTAGAACACTTCCTCCTTAAATCGATACGTATAGCCTTTTTCCACCTTGGTTTTGTCCACGGCTATCCGGACTGCATCGCCGACCTTGAATCGAGGTTGCCGGGTTTCCTTGGTTGGATACAATTTGTTGAATACCGCCAAGGAATTGTTCTGGGTGACGTCTATTGGTCGCAATCCATGTGCTCGATGTTTGGAGTGGTTATATGAGTACACCAAATCTTGCAGTTTGTCAATGTACCGGGTCGAAACCCGCGCACGAAACAAACGAAACATTAGTGTTTTGATGGTACGGATAACGCGTTCGGCCATGGCACATTTGATGTCTTCGTTTTCCGATGTGAAAAAGTGAATCTTTCTCTCTTTTAAAAAGGTCTTGACCGTTGCGTTGACGGCTTCGGTGCCTTTATCGTACTGCAGCTTTTCCGGCTCACCGAGTTCTTCAAAAGCCTTGGACAAGGCATTCTTGGTTTCGTCGGCCGTTTTGGACTTCATTGGTTGGATGCTCAGCTTTTTAGAGAAGCAATCAATTACAAACAGCAGGTGTTTGTACCCATCATTTTCTTTGGAATATTTCGATAAATCAGCCAGATCCGCTTGGTACTGCTGACGAAGGTTGGTCACTACGATCCGGTTGCGTGCAAAGCGGCGTCGATTTTCCTTGGTCACAGTGTACGCATCGATCTCTTGCAGAATCTCCTGTGCTTTCCGTCTGTTGGCACTGGTCTTTAGACTTCTTCGGAACCTTTCCACACCTCCAAGACCGCCGGGATCGCGCGGGTTGAGGTATCGTTTCATTAGTTTCTCCATTCCCTTTGTTGCAGCAGGTGGAGACACAGTTGATCTTAAATATACGGCATAACCGTAATACACTGGGATAAGACCAGCCATTACATCAGAGTGATCCACTGAATTCTGGTTTGGCCCGCCCTTTTTGGATGGTACGCGAGCGCAGTTTTCTAACACTGCCTTCGATCTGGTCCGCCTTTCTTTTTTTTTCCACGTAGGGAGTGGTGACGGGGAACAAAGGTCTACGAGGTCGCTTACGAAGACCCTTGGTTGTCGATGCTTTCAGTCGGTCGTTTTCGACCCTTCTTCGGTGCGGTCGGAGGAAACAACGCTATGCGCACTGCTTTTGCTGGTCGCGATTCAGTACTATCGTCCTGATGGCGTTTGGAGCCTTTCTTTGGTAGCGACGCCGGAAACAAAGCAATGCGTGCGGCCTTTGGTTTGTTGCTGTCTTCAGGATCGCTTTCGTGGTCGCGCTTCTGTCCTTTAGTGGGTAAATCGGATGGGAATAAAGGTTGTCGAGGCTGCTTCGTAGGTGCAGCTTCCTCAAATTCTTCTGGTATCTTTCGTTTTTGAGAAGTTGGCTGTTCTGACTCTTGTGTTTCAACAATCATAGCTTGCGGTGGCATTCGGGAATACGGACGGAATTCCGAGGGCCGTGGATTCCTTTCCGCAGTTATTGGAAGCGGTTGAGTGACTACATCCGTGGGTAATTCTAACGGATTTTCATCAGGAATGGCTTTCTGTTTCAAGGCAAGGAACCGTTCTAGGATACTACTCAGCTGGTTGGCTTTTTCATACTCGCTTATATCAGTACGTTGGAGCGTTTGAATTACGAGAGCGTCCAGCGATAAAACACTTTGTGCTTCCGGGGGTTCTCTGTTGATCTGGAGCTGTTCATGGAGCCGGCTTTCCATTACTCGGCGTGGAACAATAAAGTATTCATCCATTTCCGATAAGAGAAGTTAGAACACCGGCAATGACTGGTAAGATGGCTCCAATAAATCCTCCTTGCTGAATCAGTTTCTGTTTTTCTTTCAAAGGGTAGCGACGTAAGGCAATCAGCTTTAATGCTTTCCGATACCGTTTGCACTTATCTGCTTCGGCGGGAGATAAGTTAACTGTATTTTTCACAATATTGACAGCCACTTCTTCCAGCGCTTTAAGTTGCGATTTGGTTAGGTAGCCCACAAGGACTTTCCGCTGTTTTGGCTTCAAGTGTTGCAGCGTGATGATGAAGGGCGCTAAGGCCTTTACCCTTTCCGACATTTTGGTAAAGTGCTTGTGGAGTTCCGGTTCAGATAAATCCGCATTCGTTCACCCGGTAAAACATGGGATCGTATCCTTAAATAATCGGGGCACATTGGGCGCAAGTCCAAAACCAAGGGTTGATAAGGTTCCGATGTAACTTTGTTATAAGCGTCGACCAAGTGTTTTAGTCCAGTTTGACGTGCCAGCAATGCGATTTGATTGACATCCCGGACGTTCTTAAATAGTATCAAGTATTGCAAATTGAGTGTGATGTCACGCATCGATTTCCCTTGTTTGTACAGATTTTGCAGCAGCATGATGACGGAAACGTTCTTGTGATGTATTCCACGGGTAAACGGGTCAGAACAACGAGCATCCTTGCACAGATCAGTAGCCAAATCGTCAATAATAACCAAGGTATGAGTCTTACTGTCAACTGACTGCAAATGTGAGAAGAGGTCGTCCAGACCCTGCAGAAATTCAACTGGAGTAACCTCCTTTCGTAAGGTTTCGAAACCCTCCTGCCATTGACCGAAACAGTATAATATCCTCGTTGGTTGTTGATCCAGAACAAAGTTTCTGTTTCTTAGTAACAGTTATTGTTTCAGTGATCAATAATGCAAAATAATTCATAAAGCGTTTGAAAGATTTAACTGCTCGTGGAAAATAAACAACGCTAGTCTATTTAAGGGATGTTTATGTGTTTCGATAATAATAGACAGTTTACAATGGCTAACCTCCAGCACATGTTGTGCTATGCACGTACCCTAGAGCAAAAATGCGAGAAGGTGTTGTTAATTATTCTGTACGTTGTGTTTTTCGTTTGCTGTACGTTGAGTTTTTGCTGCGTTTGTTGTCATCGAAAGCGTGGGAAAAATTATGCAGACCGACTACTGGAACAACACCCTACGAAACCGAACAGTCGAACAATATGACCTTTCAAATGTTAGGTACGAACTTTACAGCATTTCTTTGAACGATTGCGATGCATACGTGGTTCTGACTAATTGAAAATTTTACCAGAAACTTATGTTATCATTTTTATTACAGCAAAAATGCAACGGTCGGATTTCATGGAGCTGTGTAAGATTGGGCGTGTCTTTAAGCCATCAACTCCGGTCATACCTTTTGAATCGACCCATATACGGAAACAAAAAGCTGCAACAATCTTCCGGAACGAAACTGTTCTTTCTTGACGATGGCGCCACAGAAAATAGTGCGACTTTATTGATTCAACAGCAATTTCAGAATGAAATAAAACTTCCATTATGCGTATTGCCCGTTCAGATCAAATACGTAACAAAAAAAACCACACTTATTTATCTAAAGATTACTTAAAAATGTACTGTTGCTACGGTGTTGTACG